GTCATTTCATAGATTTTGGAGGGTTTTTCCCCCCTTCCATTTTTGAGAAAGATTCTCTTGTTGCTAAGATGAGCCTCAAACTTACTATGTTCCAAGGCTGGCGTTGAGCTCTTCATCCAGTCTTTACATTTCAGGTGTTGTAGACCAGACTGGCCTGGACACACAGAGATCCGCACGCGTTAGAGTGTGCTACCATGGCCCAGCAATTCCTAAACTTTTTTTTTTATATCTAATTGTCTATTCCTAAACTTTTAAGGCTAAGATCTTAACTATTTTGCTTATTGAAGCTAAAGTTCTCTTCATTTCTTACAGAGCCTGTGAGAGAAAGTTTGAATTCAAACAAAAATGGAATAATATTGCAGACAGCTCCCAAATAATGACACAGAGAGTTATTATTAATTATGAAAGTTCGACCTTAGATTAGGCTTGTCCTACTATCTTTTTGGGTTTTTTTGAGACAGGGTTTCTCTGTAGCTTTGGTGCTTGTCCAGGAACTAGCTCTTGTAGACCAAGCTGGCCCGAACTCATAGAGATCCACCTGTCTCTGCCTCCCTGGGATTAAAGGCGTGTGCCACCACTGCCCAGCTTGTCCCACTATCTCTTATAACTTAAATTAACCCATTGATTTTAATCTACTTTCTGTTGAGTGGCTCGTTAACTTCATCTTTCTGTATTGTCAATGCTACTGCTTCCTCCATGTTTGGCTGGCAACTCCACTTTTTTCCAGAGTTCTTTCTCTGCCCGTAAGTCCTGCCTATACTTCCTATGTAGCTATCTGCCATTCAGCTTTTTATTACACTATCACAGCAATACATTGTCACATGGTGTGCAGATAGCTCAACAGTGGTGGCTCGCAGGCAGGTGGATCTCTTTGAGTTCTGAGTTTGAGGCTCACCTGGTCCGAGTTCCTAGGACAGCCAGGACTATACTGAGAAACTCTGTCCTAAAACACTCCCTCCCACCCCCTCAAAAAAAAAAAAAAGGAAAAAATGAAAGAAAAATAAGGTGTCTAGGAAGATGGCTCAGCAGTTCAAGAATACTTGGCTGCTCTTCCAGGGAGGACTTGGTTCGATTCGCAGCACCCACATGGCTAAACAAAACCATCTTTATTCCAGTTTCAGGGGATCTGATGCCCTTCTGGCCTCTGTGGACGCTGCACACAAACGATGCAGTAATAAACACAGGCAGAACACCTATATTGCATTTAAAGCAAGAGGACCCGGGTTTGTTTCCCAGAACCCATAGCATACGGCTTACAGCAGGCAGTATCACTGAGACCCCGCAGTTCAAGTCTTGTGCCCCACACTGGGCTGTTAGGAGACCAATCCTAGATATCATACATCTTAAATATTAAGTATCGCCATGCTTGTCCATCTATAAGAAGATTCTTTGAGAATTACTCCATCTGATAATTTTCACCTTGACAGCCAGGTATTTGACAGCTGCTCAGTTTCTCAGCTTCCCTCTGTGGTCATTTCTTAAGGAGCATTGGAAACAGATCGGTCTCAGTGTGGAGGGAAGCAGCCATGAAGTGTCTGCTTCTAAACAAAAGCACATTCTTTGTCCTCCCTGGGACAGCTCCGGAACCCACGTCCTTGATGAAGGCCTTATCATCCACGAGCTGAGGACACCCTGGTGTCCTTGACCTGTCCGTGCTGTTGATATGGCAGAAACTTGGTTAGCCCATCTCACTTTGGAAGATTTCTGCACTATATAAAAATCACTTACAACCCTGATAGACACATTTTGCCAAGCATGTCAGTTATCTCTCAACAGTTTGGAATTCACCTTTAAATATTAGATTGCGTAACCATAATGCCATTCAGGGAAATAAGGTGGCTGATATTTTAAGAGTGAAATGGACTTAAGGTGAAACACTAAGTAGGGAAGAACTAATATTTTGTGAATAACATAGAAATGAATAAAAGGTGATTTGTGGGTTTGACAGGTTTTTTAGCAGCAGCACCTGAAGAACTTGTAGACTTTTTTTTTTTAATGTAGTAAAAGAAGTCTTTTGTAACACCCCAGATGATAAAGGAGTTTGTACTACGTGTCCACGTTGGCTAGTCTAACCAGCCTGTCTCGGCAGATGACTGCCTTCCCCTGTCCCTGACTCCGCTGCAGAGAGGACACTTGTGGCTTCTGCACCTCCCTTTCCATCTGATTCAGCGTCTGTATAGTTCCACCAAGACATAAACTTATCAATTTGTATTTTTTACATTTTTTATTCAATTTTCCTTTAGATTCTCATGCAGAATGAATTCTTATGTATGATTCAGTGTGTAGAGACCTGTTGTATCTGGCATGTGGGCTGTACTAAAGACAGAGCAGCATTGATCTAATCTTGTTTTAACATGATGAGAGAATCTTTGTCAAGTAGATCGAGTAGATTAAGTGCTGTTTTATTGCAGCCTTTTGATAAAGGACAGAAAAGATGTCTTTAGTTTTTCTAGAACTGACGACCACAAGTATAAGTCACAATTGTAAATATTTAAGGTTTCTTTTGAGGTGAGGAGGCTGTAGTTCTGGGATTGAACCTTTATACATGTTGTCATCCCCAGCTCTTCTCCCTCTTTTCAAGCATGATGTGATCCCGTTGTGTGACTGCTGCTGTTGGCCCTTTTTTCTGTTAGTGAACATTTAGGTTGTCTGTGTTATGAATGTTAACACATTACAGATAGGAGTTTTGGTGAAGATAGCAGTGTGTATGTTGGCATGTACTTGGGAGGAACTTTTCTAAATGTAGTATTTTGCCTGTGTGGTGCCCAAGGAGGCCAGAAGAGGGACTCCAACCCCTGGAACTGGATGATTATAAGCACCTTGTGAGTACTAAGAGTCCAGCCGGTGCTCTCCAGCCCATCAGTTTTCAATGGAATGAAGTCAGATCCCATCCTACCAGTGAGGACTGGATTTAAAAAACTTAACAGCTGGCCCATAGTGCTGCATGCTGTAAATCCCAGCACTCAGGAGGTAGAGGCCAGCCTGATCTACATAGCAAGTTCTAGGAAAGCCAGGGTTACATAGAGAAACCCTGTGCCAAACAAAAGAAAGCAAAAAAAAAAAAAAAAAAAAAAAAAAAAAAATTGATGTAAAATTTGAATAAAAGAAAGCTTCATTTTAGGTTTTAGACTGGTGGTAGAATCTGTTCTCCAAAGCACAGGGCCATGCTCCACTCAGCACGGGCTTTTTTTCTGTTTCATATTTATCAGTTTGCAGCTTGGGGGTGGGTATCTCATTTTTAAACTTTTTAAATTAAGTTGAATCCTTTATATCTTATCCTTTACATTTTCTTTTAATTGTGGGGGGTTAGGGGGAAACGTGTATGTGACTACAGAGGAGGCCAGTGGTCATCCAGTCAAATCCCCTGGAGCTGGAGTTGGGGGAGGGGGTAAGTTGGGACTTTTATCTCTCACAAAATATAAGATTTTTATGTTCCTCTTAGATTTCAGAATGTCTTGTAGAAGCCGAGTCATTACATACCTATAGATGGAGATTTGAAAGGGTATTTATCAGGAAGATCCACTCTAACTTTCCACACGCCGCCTTCATATGGTGCTGGAACAGAAATAGAACATGTTATCCATTAGGTCAGGACTGTGTCTTCAAATTAGAAAATAAATACAAGTGTAAATGAACATCAAATCACTTTCTCTCCTGAACACAAAGTGATCTGGATCGGGGCATAGACAGAAATTATGCCAGTTTTCCTATGTTCAAACTTTTTGAATACATTTTTCCTTATTGTTACAGGGAGATCAAGGCCTTTGCCACCTAAAATTTCTGTTGTGGAGTCATTAATGGGTTAGGCCACAAAGCAGAAACAGGACTCTACAGCAGTAGCCTGCTTTTTTACTAATGTGGATTAATTTAGTATCCTGTAAATGACGCATACTATTCTGTGTGTGTGCATGTGGGGGCTAGAAGTGTGTGTACGTGGAGGCCAGAGGTCTGTGTACTGTGTATGTATATGTACACATGCGTTCATATGTGTGTGTGTGTAGCCCAGAGGTCTGTGTGTGTGTACACATGCATTCATACGTGTGAGCGTGTGGAGCCCAGAGGTCTGTATGTGTATATGTGTAGTACATGCGTATTCGTGTGTGTGTGTGTGTGTGTGTGTAGGCCTGAGGTCAGCCTCATGTGTTGTCTTAGGAGCCATCTTCTTTGTTTTGAGCAGTGGGGATTGGTTGGTTGGTTTTGTAGCAAGATCTTACTATGTAGTTCTGACTGCCCTGACACATGCTGTGTATATATATCAGGCTAGTTTTAAAAGACTGGGATCCGCCTGCATCTGCCTTTTGAGTGCTACATAAAGAGACAGCCCAGTTATCAACATGTGAGACAACACAGGAAAGAACACAAAGTGTACCATGGTGCTGGGTAGTATTGACTTGGGTCACCTGCAAGAGCAGTGTGTGCTTAATCTTACTGAGCCATCTTTTTAGCCTCTCTCTCTCTCTCTCTCTCTCTCTCTCTCTCTCTCTCTCTCTCTCTCTGCCTTAACTATTTGGACCTTTTCTTTGTCATGATGTCTTCCCCCTTACTTTTCTAATAACATTTTAAAATTAACTTTGAGGGAGAATGTTGGAAATTGCACCAGGGTTTTCACACATGCTTGGCCTACCATGGTTTTGAGGCAGGGATCTCACCAGGACCTAAGACTTACTGGTTATGCTGACTGGTCATGGAGCCCCTGGGATCTGCCCGTCTTTGCATCATTGGTGTTTGTTAGGGTTGTAGCTACACACCACCATGCCTAGTTTTTGGAGTAGGTGCTGGGGATCAAACTCAGCTCCTCATACTTGCATGGCACGCTCATTGCCAAGTAACATGTCTCCCTGGTCCTGACTTTAAACTACTAGAGTTGTTATGTATGTTTTACATTTACAGCAGTGTGTCAAGACTGGTAACATTTGTAAACTGGCAAGTCTCAGGTGTTACCTATAGCTCTTTCATATGCTATATAAAGCCTGTGTAATTTCCTTTACTTTCTACTTCAGCATCGAAAGCAAACATGAGGTTACAATTCTAGGAGGACTCAATGAATTTGTTGTCAAGTTTTATGGACCACAAGGAAGTAAGTACATGTGTGGGTATGTGTTCTTTTTTTATAATCTTTACTAGACAGTAGGGCTATCAACAGGTTGATAGGCTTTGGAGCCAGCGAGTGAAGAAATCTTTGTTATTCATGCATTTATTCTCTCAAAAATTTTGGGTTTTGTTGTAGATGGGCAAACAAGTGTTCTTTGAATAGGATCCAGGTTAAGTTTCTGTGTATATTAAGTATATATTCTGTTCTGGTTTTTTGGGGGGGTGGTTGGTTGAAGTAGGAAAAATAAGGAACATGACTATCTCTTACTAAATAATTAGTGGTGTTTAACAGTATCATGTAAGAGTGAATATTTGCTTGACTCTGGATAATAGAAAATGTGTGTGGTGTGTTTTGTTTTTAATTGTTTTCTGGTACTGGTGGTTGACCCCGTGCTTGTGCATGTTGGGGAAATGCTCTACCACTGAGTTACATTCCTCCGCCCTTTCTTTGTTTACTTATAAAAGCGGTTTTTTTTCTATCCAGAGTATTTTGCCTATATATGTGTGTGTGCGCACCATGTGTGTCCTCGATTCCCTGAGAGGCCAGAAGAGGTCATTGGCTCCCCTGGAATTGGAGTTAGGGGTTGCTGTGAGCCACAGTGTGGGTGCTAGAAATTTAACCTGGGTCCTCTGCAAGAGTAACAAGTGCTCTTCATTCCTGAGTCACCTCTTTTGCCCCCATAAGCAGGTTCTCACTCAGTTGTCCAAGCTTGAGGTTACTCTACTTCAGTCAGCCCTTGGGCCTCAGCACCTCAGCTTCCTAACTAAATAAGTGACGATGGTTCTAATAGAACAAGCTGTTCTAGGAGACAAGCCTGAAGAAAAAGCGAATTAATCCGAACATAGAGTTATCTCCTCTGCTGATTATAGTTTGGTCCTGAACTTTTTTTCCACTTTGAGACAGGATCTCACTCTGTAAACCAGGCTAGCCTGGAACCCGCCTTATCTCCTGATTGCCTGCATTGTAGCTTATGTCACCATGTCCAGCTAGTTCCTGACTCTTTAAGCAATTAGTTTGAGGCCTTTTTCAGGAGAGAAAGTGATTTGATGTTCATTTACACTTGTATTTATTTTCTAATTTGAAGACACAGTCCTGACCTAATGGATAACATGTTCTATTTCTGTTCCAGCACCATATGAAGGCGGCGTGTGGAAAGTTAGAGTGGATCTTCCTGATAAATACCCTTTCAAATCTCCATCTATAGGTATGTAATGACTCGGCTTCTACAAGACATTCTGAAATCTAAGAGGAACATAAAAATCTTATATTTTGGGAGAGATGATTAAGTTCCAACTTACCGAACTGAATTTCTCCTTTCTTGGCTTTTGAAGGCGTAAGTCACGAACAAGGCCACACCAGTTTGGAGTTATGATTAATAGGGTGTTATTTATTTAAAGGGGAAAACTTACAGATCACCGTCTCAGACAACAGCCATCTGCACAACCAGGAAGGGAGTCTAGTCTCCGGCGGAGCAGGAAGTGAAGAGAGTGAGCAGAGGAAATAGCCCCTTTTTTAAATGGAGAGAGACCACGCCCCAATGGGCTGGTATCACAGCAGCTATTGGTTGGAGGGGCGGAAGGACCTCCTGCAACAGGCTTTTAAAAAAAAAGGTTTATTTACTTATTATGTATGTGGACCTTTTGTATACATGTATGACCTCACACTGAAAGAGGACATGGGGTCCCATGGGGCTACAGTTATGAGCTATCATCAGAACTAATGCCTAGTCTCCTGCAGTTTTTTTTTTGGATTTTTCGAGACAGGGTTTCTCCGTAGCCTGTCCTGGAACAAGCTCTTGTAGACCAGGCTGGCCTCTGCCTCCAGAGTGCTGGGATTAAAGGCATGCGCCACCACTGCCCGGCTCTCCTGCAGTTTAGACTCCTACTCCAGCAAAAACCTTTTGTTCTGAAGTTTGCTTTGCTCCCAGGCTTTCAAGTTTCTGTGTAGAGCAAATAGTGTGTTAGGAGGATGTGTGTAGTAAGGATGATGCAGTAGTTGGCAGCCTTGCCACAGTCTTAAACCACTTCACTTCCTGTAGAGTTTTATGTACTAAAGAGCACCTGTAATTCTTTCCTAAGCTGGGGAATTCTTAGTGTTCTTTCCCTTCGGGTCTTTAGGTAGGTTCTCTAACCCTGCAGCCATCCTCGAGATACTTATTTATGGATCAACAGATGAGAAATGGCTTCAGTGCAGCAGGGGCCTCTGAGCTGTAGCCATAGGGGTGGCAGCAGCTCATGGGCATGCTGGACAGCAGCCTGCGTGGCTGCCGATCAAAGCCTTTCCCCAACTTCATTCCACATCCACATCGACGAGAAGTGGGTGTCAATCTCTTCAGAGGGCTTTTCTGCTGTGGTTTCCCATGCCTGGTTTATTCATGTGTCTCCTAACTTTAGTGTCTTGTTCTATTGCAATATTTCAAATATAAACTTTAAAATGTGTCATAAACATCTATTTAAAGACAGAAAATTGGCATTCCAAGTATATACAGTTTTGTTATTTTGCATTGCTGCTTACAGGAAACAGGGCTTGTAGAAGCCAAACATATACTGTGGGAATGCAGCCTGTTCTGTAGAAATGTAGCTCTTCCTTAAACTTTAACCTGTTGTCCCAGGCAAAGGGTACATTTCACTATAGCTGTCTAAACTATCCTAAAAGACTCTTTTCTGCTCCATTGCTGGGGTCAGACTCTGGACCTGGCACATTCTAGGCAGGCACTCCACCATGTAGCTGCATGCGTCTGCTGCCCTAAAATACCTAAAGTATTCTTCATCTGCTATCTAATGACCCAAATTCCCAAGTTAGCGACATGGTATACAGTTGGTTATGACCAAGCTAATTTAACATTCATAAGTTTCAATTTGCCATTCTCTATGCTTTTCAGAATTTGATACTTTACAAATGAATGTCGTCTTCCTTTGAGGAAGTTGATTTAGTTGAAATACTTGTACAAGCTGTTCTTTCCTTCAAAGGAGAATTACATAAGAGTTAATCAGTTTGTGGGTTGACCCATTTTCAAGTCATCAACAACGTAATACTGTTAAGATGTGCTTTAAGCATTTTGAGAGGCAGTAGCTCATTTATAAAAGGCAAGGCTTAGTTTTTGAATTGTGGAGACATGGAATTAAACAGAAGAGAAAGAAAATGAGATAAACTCAACTTATTCGTATAAAATCTTTCTCACATAGTGTCTGTATCTACAGTTCTTTTTTTTTCAGTTATTTACCTCTTAAGACAAGCACATTTATAGCATATGTGGCTTTAAATGAGCTAAGAATATATAAAACAGTAACTAATGTTAATATATATATATAAATACTGTTCTAGTATCTACAGTTCCTGAGTTTAACCTAAGCTCTTAAATATTAAGAAGTGGAATTGGGAGGTATAGCTTGGTGGCAGAGTGCTTGCCTGGCATGTATGAGGCCCTGAGTTCAGCCCCTAGCCCTTAAATAATAAATAAAACATTTTTTATGTTAGCACTGTGTGTGTGTGTATGCGTGCACCCACGCCCACCCGCCTCTATGTAGACTCAAATAGGCCTTCGGTTTGTCCTTTTGCCTCAGCCTCCTGTTCGCAATTGTATACCATCAACCTTAGCTTGGATTTTAAGATACTTATGAGCATATAATTTGTGTGTATGAGTTAATGTGCAGGCGTGTGTACTTGTTGGTGTATGGAAGTCAGACGTCAACCTCAGGTGGTGTTCTTTAGGAACTATATACTTGGTTTTTGAGACAGTCTCTCTTGCTGGGACCTAGGTCTCATGTAACACCCGGTTTTGGTGTTACACCCTCAGTACAGTTCGCGCACCACCTTACCGAATGCCAGCAAGGCCTGGAGATTGAACAGAACACACAGAGAGACCAGGGTCATTCGATAGGAGATCAATGGAATGCCATTTATTCAGACTGGGGAAAAGTCCTTATCTAACTAACTGCAGCACTAGGACCCCTGCCCTGGTAGGTGGGAAATTACCATATCAACAATGGAATGAAGGCCCTACAGCTAATCAGGGGGGCGAGGGGGGGGCAGGGGAAAATATAGGAACTTAACCAGGCGGGGCAGGGGAAATACAGGAACTAAGAATGCTAGTCATCTGATTAGAAACTGTATGCGCCCCAGGAATAAGGGCTGAATGCTAGGTCTTGTTGACCAGAAATTGTCCCTGAGATGCGCCCAGGAATAAGGGCAGACCAGGGCGCTACAGTCTCACAGTTAGGCTAGGTTGCCTGGACAGTGAGCTCCAGCCTGTCTCTGTCTCCAGCACTGGGATTAAAGACAGGTGCCACTGCATATAATAATTCTAGGGTTTTTTTTTTCCCCTTTGTGGACAGACTTTATTTTTCCTTTTTTTTTTTTTTTTTTAAGACAGGGTTTCTCATTAGCTAGGGAGCCAGTCCTAGAAGAACTTGCTCTGTAGACCAGACTGGCCTCGAACTCATAGAGATCTGCCTGCCTCTGCCTTCTAAGTGCTGGGATTAAAGGCATGTTCTACCAATGCCCAGTGAGAGGAGGATTGCTTGAGCCTACAAGTTTGAGCCAGTTGAACAACATATTGACACCCCCCTCCCAATCTCTTTAAAAGATAGGAAGTTGGACCTGGTGCTTCATGCCTCTATAGTCCCAATAATCCGGTGGTTGAGGTAGGAGGATTCCTCTGGGCTAGGAGTTGGAAATCAGCCTTGCAACATATCACGACCTCACCTAAATTGTATTTATATAAACACAAAACAGGAAAAAATGAACACTACTTGAAGTGGTAATTACTTGAAGTGTCAGCACTATGAGAGGATGGAGTCAAGAGGGCCAAGGACTCAAGGGACTACATAGGACCCTGTAGGTGAATTAGGTGAATTCTGTGTGCTTGTTGTTAATTGGCTCATTAAGTACTCAAAGGGTATGGCCACACTTCTTGACATTAGGAAGGTTGGTAAGAATAGATGGACATAAAGTACCAAATATTCCCTAGAAGATGTGTGAAGCCGTGCCTCTAGAAAAGAGAGTGTGAGAAGAGTTTTTGTTAAAAAAGACATATTTTGCTCTCATTACAAAGCGTTGGAGATGTGAGGGCAAATGGGAATTTTAGAAACATTCAGAATCCCAAATAGTCCTCAGTCCATGAAGACTGCTGCACCAGCTCTCATTCTGTTCTCCAGATTCTGTGTGTTAGCTAGAGAAAGCTTCCACCAGTGCAAGATGTGCAGCAGCTGCGCAGCTGAGAGCGTCTTGGAAAAGGGCAACACCACCACCACCATTGTCCAAGTGCATGGCAGCACATCGCTTTAGAGACAGGTGGATGTTACTCTAGTTTCAGCCTATTCTGCAGAACTACATTGTAAGTCCCCAAACAACAACAAATTGTTTTATGTGTAGCCAAAAAGAGTAATGATTTTTTTAAATGAAGTTATAATTGGTTGAGCTACAGAGTTTGTGATTTTTTTTTATAGCCAGTCTGATAGTGTATATGGTTGGTCCTAGGTCCTTTGAAATTTTTTTATTTTATAAATTAAAAATAAAAAGTAAACCAGGCATGGTGGAACACATGTATAATCCCAGCACCTGGCTGCAGAAGCAGAGGGATCAGGAGTTAAGGTGTTCCTTGACCACATAGTGAACTTTCCTGCCCTGTAGCACAGACCTTTAGATCAGACCAGCCTGTCATCTAAGTAGGATAGTTTAGGTTGTCAGACTAATCAAAATCCTTCTTAAATTTTTAGTTGAAAGCTACTCTAGTAACCACACTATTGTGCTTGTGCTAGTAATGAAGGGTAGTACATTGCACTATGGTCAGAAGTTGCCTCACAAACCGGTTGGTGGTGGTGCACACCTTTAATCCCAGCACTCAAGAGGCAGAGGCGGGCGGATCTCTGTGAGTTCGAGGCTAGCCTGGTCTACAAGAGCTAGTTCCAGGACAGGCACCAAAGCTACAGAGAAACCCTATCTTGAAAAATAAAAAAATAAGAAGTTACCTCACTATTTTAGGAATGAAGTTTTGTAATATAGTATGAGTAACTATAGAAGTTAGTATGCTTAGTTAGTTCTGTTTCATATGCTCCTGGATGGAAATAGTCTTTAGTTTCCCCCAGAACTAATGTGCATACCTGAGGTAAGTGCTGAAGTTTCAGAATGGAGAGGAGTGTCTCAATTATGAGAGATTTGGGGTTAGTCACTTTTAACAAAGGCCAGGTCTGTTACACAGAGAAA